TCTGATATAACAACATACTATATACAGAGAGGAGGACGGTGACACCGTGTGAAGAGTTGTCACCCCCATCTTCTTCACTGCTGAACCTTCCTGCTTCCTGTACAGCGGATTGAAGAGCCTCTACTGACCACCTGTACAAGTCTCCATCAATGTGATCCTGACAATGTACAGCAACAGCACCTCCACTTTCTATCATCAAATAGCCATTTCCTCCCCTCCCCCAGTCATCAGTCTGCTGCAGGCAGGAGGAAGCATTTCCTCTGTCTCCCCTCCCCCAGTCATCAGTCTGCTGCAAGCAGGAGGAAGCATTTCCTCAGTCTCCCCTCCCCCAGTGATCAGTCTGCTGCAGGCAGGAGGAAAAATCTCCTCGGTCTCCCCTCCCCAGTCATCAGTCTGCTGCAGGCAGTAGAAAGCATTTCCTCTGTCTCCCCTCCCCCAGTCATCAGTCTGCTGCAAGCAGGAGGAAGCATTTCCTCAGTCTCCCCTCCCCCAGTCATCAGTCTGCTGCAAGCAGTAGAAAGCATTTCCTCGGTCTCCCCTCCCCAGTCATCAGTCTGCTGCAAGCAGGAGGAAGCATTTCCTCAGTCTCCCCTCCCCCAGTCATCAGTCTGCTGCAGGCAGGAGGAAAAATTTCCTCGGTCTCCCCTCCCCAGTCATCAGTCTGCTGCAGGCAGTAGAAAGCATTTCCTCGGTCTCCCCTCCCCCAGTCATCAGTCTGCTGCAGGCAGGAGGAAAAATTTCCTCGGTCTCCCCTCCCCCAGTCATCAGTCTGCTGCAGGCAGTAGAAAGCATTTCCTCGGTCTCCCCTCCCCCAGTCATCAGTCTGCTGCAAGCAGGAGGAAGCATTTCCTCAGTCTCCCCTCCCCCAGTGATCAGTCTGCTGCAGGCAGGAGGAAGCATTTCCTCAGTCTCCCCTCCCCCAGTCATCAGTCTGCTGCAGGCAGGAGGAAGCATTTCCTCGGTCTCCCCTCCCCCAGTCATCAGTCTGCTGCAGGGAGGAGGAACATTATATAAAACACTATTTTTTTGTCAAATATAAAAGACGAGGTGACAACGAGTACATAGATACCCAACATGCCCAGTTTAAAAATTGTGTGCGTTTGTGAAACTGCGTCATAATTCAGTACCCCAAAAAGTCCATAGACGACGCTTTAAAAGACCCCCACGGGTCATCAGTTTAGAGATAGGTGTAAATATTGGCCCGAGAATTACTCCTCTCACTCCGGCGCGCGCGGCGATACCCAACATGTGTAACGCGTTCGTCATTTTCGTACGTAGGTGCACCGACGCGTGTTTACGTGAAGATGCGCGTGCTCGCGGGGGACTTTAAACATTTTTAAAATGATATTTACATTTATTTTATTAAATATTATTATTTTAACTTTTTTTTTCTACTTTAATTGCTATCACATAGGGGGGGCTTACAACCTCCCCCCCCCCGCCATGTGATAGCATATTGGTGGTGACAGGTCCTCTTTAAGGTGATGCTGGGGGGTCCAAAAGAGAATTGGCACCATGCAGTCAGGCAAGTACCGTTCCCCTGGCAACCGCCAAACCCAGACACGCCCATCGGATTGCCAGACAGAGAAGCGTGATTGGTCCCTCCAGAGAACACGCCTCCACTTCTCTAGAGTCCAGTGGCGGCATGCGTTACACCACGGCATCCCACGCTTTGCATTGCACTTGGTGATGTGCGGCTTGGATGCAGCTGCTCGGCCATGGAAACCCGTTCCATGAAGCTCTCTACGCACTGTTGTTGCGCCAATCTGACGGCCGCATGGAGTTTGGAGGTCTGTAGCTATTGGCTCTGCAGACAGTTGGCGACTTCTGCGCGCTTCAGCATGCGCTGACCCCGCTCTGTCATGTGACGCGGCCGACCACTTCCTGGCTGAGTTGCTGTTGTTCCCGGTTGCTTCCACTTTGTTATAATCCCAGTAACAGGCGACCGCGGCGGAATATTTAGTAGCCGGGAAATGTCACGGGCGGACTTATTGCGCAGGTGACAACCTATCACGGCACCGCGCGTGTAGTCACCGAGCTCCTGAGAGCGACCCGTCTAATGTCTGTAGAAGCGTCTACATGCCGAGTTGCCTCATCCTATACACCGGGGGCCATGGGGGGGATTGGAGGACCTGAATCACATGATTGGGAGGGGGAGGGGCCAATACTTTGGGTAATAGAGTGTATACAACAGTAAAATTAAAGGAGAACACTGATCAGTCCTGGAATTAGGAGTTCTGACAGAGTTCAGCGTTCGATCAGCACAAGAGAAGTCTGAAGGGCTCTTCCATCAAATGGTGTCCGTATGGAGCCGTATATCTGCGCAGCGCAAAAACAGAATGGAACAGAGATGCGTCCGGGCAGCGTATTTCTACGTATTTTACGCGCACATACGCATGTTTACTCATATACATGCGCGTACAGTTCATTAAAATTTCTATTAGGAATGATGCATTCTGGGAACGCAAATAGTGCACGCATATAGGCACACACGCGCGTATATACGCCATATACGATTTCGCTCTTGCGTTGTGTGTGAATGAGGCCTTAAGGGGGAAACTCTTCTGCGCTGTGCAGACTTCTGGATGTTTCAAAACAAAAGCCTCTCTAGTCGCCATGACAACAGCTTTTATTAGCCCTTTAGGGAGGTCGTCACGGAGCCGACCCCCGGGTCAGGGCTGGGGATGGAGAGCAGGAGGAGGATGAACCTTTATTTTACACTATCCCCGCCCAATTCCACATGATGAAATGGCGCCGATGATCAGGTTGATGACTTTCGGGTGAATGTGGGGTCACCGGGGTCACCGGCTCTACCAGACCTGCTGGTGTTTATATATACACGTCCCACCGGTAATAGAGGAGGGCCCGGTGCCGTGTCTTTAATTAGGGACGGCTGTGAACGGCTTACACTGGGAAATCCCGCCATCGTGCGGTAATCGCAAAGCACAGATCTGATTCATCGGCGTCTGGAGCTGGAGAGTGACACAAGGAGGCGGAAGTGATGTCATACACAGCGGAGAGGGGACGGAGGGAGGTGGTGTAGTGATCCCGTCGCAGAGCCACCATACCGGTCCCGGGCTCGCACCAGGCACAGCGAAGTCCGGGACCAGCGGGAGGGATTGGGGGGGGCAACATGGATCAGTACCCCATACAAGCGATCCGTCGGCTCTATGGCAACAGTCATCGCCGCCCGTTTTTTTCAATTTTGTCAGTTTCCCCGCTCTCACACGCGAGGGGGCGTGGCTGGGCGGACGTTCAAAAACACCCAATCAGATCCAGGGAGCTCCCGGCCGCCGTTTCTCAAATAACGGCCGGCCAGGAGGCGGTTAATATTCAGACTCGCACCCCATTATCGTCACAGGCGTCTCGGAGCTTTCGGATGTCAACACCACGGAGGAGTTTACAGGTAAGGGAGGAGTTTATAAGTAAGGGAGGAGTTTACGGAGAAGGGAGGAGTTTACAGATAAGGGAGCAGTTTACAGAGAAGGGAGGAGTTTACAGATAAGGGAGGAGTTTATAAGTAAGGGAGGAGTTTACAGATAAGGGAGGAGTTTACAGATAAGGGAGGATTTTACATATAAGGGAGGATTTTACATATAAGGGAGGAGTATATAAGTAAGGGAGGAGTTTACAGATAAGGGAGGAGTTTACAGATAAGAGAGGAGTTTACAGATAAGGGAGGAGTTTACAGATAAGAGAGGAGTTTACAGATAAGGGAGGAGTTTATAAGTAAGGGAGGAGTTTACAGATAAGGGAGGAGTTTACAGATAAGGGAGGGGTTTACAGATAAAAGAGGAGTTTACAGATAAGGGAGGAGTTTACATATAAGGGAGGATTTTACATATAAGGGAGGAGTGTATAAGTAAGGGAGGAGTTTACAGATAAGGGAGGAGTTTACAGATAAGAGAGGAGTTTACAGGTAAGGGAGGAGCTCATGGATAAGGGAGGCGTTTACAGATAAGGGAGGAGTTTACAGGTGCGAGGAGCTCACGGATAAGGGAGGAGTTTACAGTTAAGGGAGGAGTTTACAGATAGGGGAGCAGTTTACAGATAAGAGAGGAGTTTATATATAAGGGAGGAGTTTACAGGTAAGGGAGGAGCTTACGGATAAGGGAGGAGTTTATAAGTAAGGGAGGAGTTTACATATAAGGGAGGAGTTTACAGGTAAGGGAGGAGCTTACGGATAAGGGAGGAGTTTATAAGTAAGGGAGGAGTTTACATATAAGGGAGGAGTTTACAGGTAAGGGAGGAGCTCACGGATAAGGGAGGAGTTTACAGGTAAGCGAGGAGCTCACGGATAAGGGAGGAGTTTACAGTTAAGGGAGGAGTTTACAGATAAGGGAGGAGTTTACAGATAAGGGAGGAGCTTACAGGTAAGGGAGGAGTTTATAAGTAAGGGAGGAGTTTACAGATAAGGGAGCAGTTTACAGATAAGGGAGGAGTTTACAGATAAGGGAGGAGTTTACAGGTAAGGGAGCAGTTTACAGATAAGGGAGGAGTTTATAAGTAAGGGAGGAGTTTACAGATAAGGGAGGAGTTTACAGATACAAGAGGAGTTTACACTCAGATATTATCGCACAGATCTCTCTCTATATTACAGATTGGAGATATTATCGCACATATCTCTCTCTCTATTACAAATTGGAGATATTATCGCACAGATCTGTGTATTGGGCAGATAATTGATCTGTTTATCATAATAGGTCACATGACACCAAGAAAATTTCATTGTTTCCACGGTGACTGCTGTCATCCTGCAATTATATTCACGTCCAGCCTTTTACTCTCCGCCAATCACACTTCAGAATTCACTCTCCCGCGGTGTCTCCGCCCCCAGACTCCTCCTTGCGCAGGCAGCCAATGGCTGGACGCTTCCCAATCTTCTGCGCTGTCTCCGCCTATCTGAGGCTCCTCCTTTCTTCTACCTCCAATTACGTGCAAGCTGCTTTCTCCGCCTTTCACCCCCCTCTCTCTCCCCCCTAGGCTCCTCCTTGTTAGAATTTGCTCCTCCCACGGTGTCGCCAAGGATTTGGTGAGCGGGACGGAGGAGGATGGAGCGGCCGTTGCTGTTGGAGAATCTTCCTCAGGTGAGAGGGGACACCGGGAGGGGGAGGCGGGACTGTGCGGTGGAGACCGGGGATGGTGGGTGGAGACCGGGGGCTGGAACGGCATCTGTGTATTATATGGAGAGGAGAGCCCGCCCTCTGTATGGAGAGTCCCTGTGTGTGAGGAGAGACCGCCCCTGCCCTGAATACAG